TGGGAACACAGATGATCATGATCTCATTTAAAACGGAAAAAACATTTTTTAACTTGTGCATCTGTACTCTTAAGACATTGCCATCATAAAGCAGAGACTTCTGTGAGCGAAAAGGTTGCCTCATCCAAAAATTGTCGGTGTAAAGGGGGAGATTAGGCTCTTCACAACCCTATCTTTGTTTTTTATTTTATATACCCTATTGTTTCCGAATTAGGGACTCTCTGCCTTTTTGTTGGTAGGGGAAAGCTATTGCTTTGTCTAACAGAGCGAATGCCAACTACCCATTCATTATATAAGTCTGAACTTTGGTAATAAATGGCTATGAAGATTAAGCCTTCTATAAAGACTTCCTATTGAGGCGAATTCTCATACTGGAATGTAGTTATGGGCAATATTTACTAGAGATTTATGAGATTAAATTAAGAGATAATGTAAGAAAATAGACTTTTTTGTTCTACATAATGCTTCATGATTCATTTAGGGACTAGAGATATTGTGTGAAAATGTATAAATATCACCCAAAAGGCTTTCTGCCCTATATTTTTAAAATACAGAATAGTTATATTCAAAGTAGCCCTGGCCCTAGTTCTATAGGGCTTGGCTATTTAATATTTTTATGGAAGAAATGTTTAGTTCCGGAAAAGGTAAATGCTTGTATATATTTTTGCAGCCTGGGATCTCCCTACTCCATTTCTTCCTTTAATTTAAGTGGCCACATGTATATGTCTTCCCTGCTGTGTTAGGAAAATGGGGGCTGGATATCCCAAGAATCAGAGGTTATATAAAAATACTACAAATAGACAGACATAAATATCTACCAAATGCTATCTTAAATTTTGATCCAAAATGAACTTTTGGAAATAGATTTATTTTAAGTGTTTAATTAGAACTTTTTCTTAAATCTGAACTAAATTGCTTTTAGAGTCCTTTTTCTTTGTAAGCATTGTAAATGCTAATAAATCCTGTTAATTTTTTTTTTTAACTGCATGTGACATTGAAATAAAAACAAAGTAAAATGAGCATTTGCTTTATTCTTCGGCTCTTTTGGGGGGTTGGGGAAGGCAGTATTCCAACAGCCTGGGTCAGGAGGGAAGTACCTTATTTGTTTCATCAAATGGAATGGTTTAAAACCGATGCAACAGCTCATAATAATGAATTCCTGTTCTGTCTTTTATGATCTTGTCTCACACTATGTCAGAGTGCAGAAGAATCTAATAAGACAGTAACTCTTTAAAATTCAGGTACTGGTTTTTCATCAAGAGATTAACATACCAATATCAATTCATCAGAAATTTTCGTGAAACATGATTCAGCTGCCCATAAAGATCTCATCCTAAATGAACTTTCAGTCAAGCCCACTCTGCCAATTTTTACTTATCTGGTTAATAATCTGAAATGTTATCAGGAGTGATTCATGGAACTAGACTTTTCCTCTATTTTTACATCCCTCCTAACTCCATCCTTCTAATAAACTCCTTTAGGGTTAACTGCTTCTATTTAGCATAGTTGTTATCTCCAGGCCCCCCTCCTCTTTGTTTTTCTTTTAGAGTTATTTACAAAATTATTTGTATATATGCTTTCATTAACAAAAAACAGGGAATGGCAGCATTGCATTGTATGTTACTATACTGGAGTACCTTTGTTTTCTTGGACTATAATTTCAAATACTCAAGTAACTCTACAAATATCACGGAGTCAAGTGCTTATTTATTTATAAAGTTCCTTCAGGGGGATTGCCTCACTTGCATTTCCTTAAAAGATGTAAGACTGTATTTATAATTAAAATTTTTTGGTCTTTCGTTTGCATACTTTTCTGTTAGTCTTGGTTAGTAATAATGTTTTCCCCATCTACAGGGAAGCCTCTGTGACTGGGTCATATAGACTTCTGCCACTGCTTTTTGTAAGTGGCAAATTACAGTTTGTCTATACTGTGGAGTGGGTAGAAAAAACTAGAAAGATCTACTCAGGTGAGATTGGATTTGGTACCTATGTTGAAGATGATGTCGGCAGGGACCACTGACAGATATGAGGGCCTCCCATCTGAATGGCTTTTCTGAAACAACTAGAAGTGCTCTAAGATAGAACCTTATCCATGAGTGCTGAGTAGAAAACCACCAGCTAGCTACCAAGACTATTAACAAGCTGGCCTGCTCAACAGCTTCAGTAGACCTTTTTCTTCCTAGGGAACACAGATGATCATGATCTCATTTAAAACGGAACCAGTGGAGACAGTCTTAAGGGAAGTGGAATTTTTTAATATGCTGAACTAACAGTAACTAGATCACAGAATCTGCAGGCCCCTCCACGTCCTGAGTGGTAGACCCTATCCTATTTAAGCTGTCCCATAGAAACATCTAGAAAGCTCCAGCTTCAGTGTGGCTAAGAAAAAGGGGGAAGATGTGCCCCCTTGAGCATGAGGAAACCTTCTATGGGGAATAAGTAAATAATTGTTCTTACTGGCCATCAGCTCTCCGCCCCAAACCCTACAAAGCATGAAACTGGGACTTAGCTGGGCCGGCCCGTGGCTCACTCGGGAGAGTGCAGTGCTGATAACACCAAGGCCGCGGCTTCGGATCCTATATAGGGATGGCCAGTTGGCTCACTTGGAAGAGCGTGGTGCTGACAACACCAAGGCAAGGGTTGAGATCCCCTTACCGGTCATCTTTAAAAAAGAAAGAAAGAAAGAAACTGGGACTTAGCTGTAGCTGACCATCTGGCTGTTCTCTGGACTTTTCAAAGAGTGTCTCACGTTGTGAAATTCCAGAAGAGGAGTTGCTGTCACTTCCAGCCCGTTTCAGTTGTCAGTTCCTATGTGTCTGTAGGGCTTCTTTGTGATCAGGACATTCTGAGGGAGGAGCCAGGAACACCTTCCTGGTTGGCAAGCAGAGAAGAGTCTTCAGCATAGACCCCAGAAAAAATGCTGGTCCCTTATGAACAGATTTTTATCAAGAGTGGCTATGGGCAGAGGATTTCCTCAAAGCACCCCACAGGAAAGAACCTAGAAAATTTGAATTCATACTGCAGATTACTGAAAATAGCCATACTGTTATTTTTCCTCATTTCTAATTCAGACCTGTTCTATTTGTCTTCTCTGTCAGAGCAACCGCTACCACACCCATATTCACTTTGTCCCAGAACAGCTGTCAAATGTTTATTATGACTTTGCCAGATGCTGATAGATATGCTACCCTGTACTGTCACTTAGTCTTCTTGGCCACTCTCAGAGAGGAATGACTGTTTTAGAGATAAGAACATAGAGGCTCAAAGTGATTCAATGTTTGCAGCTATTAAGTGGGAAGAGTTAGTTAGTTCAGTTGGTTAGAGCGCAGTATTGTAACACCAAAGTCAAGAGTTGCGATCCTCCAAGTGGCCAGCCAGAAAAAAAAAAAAAGTACAAATTGGAATCCAGGCCTGTCTGACTCCAAAGCTTCTGTGCTTAACCATTTTGCTGTACAGCTACTCAAACCACAACCCTGGGAGTCTAGTGTAACCATTTAAGCCATCACATGTAATTGGTGTCCAAATCCTATCAAATGTATCTCCAAAACTTTTTTGAATCCCTTCCCTCAGAGTTGCCCCCATTGCCACAACCCACATCCTTCACCCCTAACCTGGTTGACAACACAGCCTCCTGTCTTCATTGCTTTCATTCTCCACCCTCTAAGTTCATCTTACGGCCTGCCTCAGAATGATCTATGGAAGACCCAGTCTCATGCTTCTCCCCTGCTTAAAATCTTACAATGGTTCCTCCATTATCACAGAATATACTCCAAAACTGGGAAGCCTGCCACTCAAGGCCATTCATGGCCCTATCTTCAGCTCCTCCTTCATTCTCTTTTTGGCTCCAGTCATATGAACTATTGGCCACTCTCTTTTTTGCCACAGGGATTGTGATCTTTTTGAAACCTTTCACTCCTCTCAGTCTGGTTCTCCATATGTAAGATGCTGGTGATGATCCTCCTGTGCCTATCTCCCAGGATGTTTTGGGGTCCAGTCACTGCAGCACTTCTTTTCTAAATGCTTTCCTAATGTTTGCCGCATTCAATAGCATTCCTTTGCATCCAATCCTTTTTTAAAAACTTCATTTTGAGGGCCAGCCCGGTGGCGCACTGGAGAGTGCGCCGCTTGGGAGCGCGGCAGCACTCCTGCCGAGGGTTCGGATCCCATGTGGAGACCGGTTCCCGCTCACTGACTGATTGCGGTGTGGGCGTGACACCGAGGGTTGCGATCCCATTACCA